GAGAATCCAAATCTTTTTGAGAAAACTTAGACATGGAAACCAGCCCAACTCTCCCAAGATCAGACCTTGCTTGAAAATCTAATATGTCCGATATAGCCCCAGTTTATCTTGGATTTAACCTACGCTAAAGCAGTGTTGTCAAAAGCTCATTAAAGGCGCGCTTAAGTCCTGAAGCTCAGAAAAGCTCAGGGAAGGTGCTTCGCCTCGCTTAAGTTGTGCTTCAGTGCAGGCAAGGCACTAAAGTGTGCACCTCATTGCCCATGAGTTCTATCTTGAATCGAGTGGTACTAAACGATAAATATTATCGGCAAATAAGTGTATTAGTTGTTGTTGAAGACAGTAGGAATGATTTTGTTTCTTTTTTCTTGAATTGCATTTGTATTTTTATTTTTCCCTTAGTTGTGCCTTTTTTTTTTACTAAAGCCCGCACTTTAGTTAAGTTTTGCGCTTAAAGCCCCAATCGACCTAGAGCGCTTTTAGAGCTTTTGTCAACACTGCGCTAAAGCCCCCTATGCTGCCACCACAACCTTCTCATGTTACCAGCAAAGCTCACCTCCATCTGAAATTCACTCTTGTATCTGCCGCATGCTTGTCTTCCTAGGAACCTGTATTAAAATGTAGTGTCAAAGGATAATGCACTTCTTCTTCCATGCTTGATCTTGCCATGACCATGGTACCCTTACTTCAAGCTTTGCTCTGGGCGAATGGCTCCATCAAATGTGATCGACATTGCATCTCGACCTTTTCATGCTGCGGAGCGAACCCTACTTTGAGGAGAAAGAAATACTTTCCTAAAGTTAAAGTGAATTCAAGCCCGTCTTCAACATGCAGAATAATTGTCCGGAGAAAGCAAAAGGTTCTTGGAAGGGTATGTGTGTGTGTGTGTATATATATATAGATAGTATCAAGACTTCAACATCATCAGTTCAGGGATACTTCTGTGAGTGCTGCTAGTTGAGGGGCATACCACTATGTGTTCTCAACAGTCGAGGGGCATAGAAGGCATACTTCTACAATGCTGCTAATTGTACAATAATTATTTGAACCATTTACCTCCTTCCGGGGGGGAGGGGGAGGGGGGGGGGTTAGATCTTTGAGACACTTTCCTACTGAAAGATTCCCCTTGTTCTCCAGCCAACCCCAAAAAAAAAAAAGAAAACCCCAAAAAAAGTAGGTAAATGAATAAGAATTTAAAGATAATCACTCAGTAACTGATAATAAAAATACATGAATGCAGCGCAAATTCTACCAAAGGACACTCAAATAACATTCAGCAACAGAGAGGGCAAAATTACGGTTCAACACATTATCGTTCATTCTACAGTGATCTGATTTATAGTTTTTTTTTTCCTAGGTACATTTCGAGTCTATTAGAACGCAGCTTCTTCTTGTTACCTCACCGGTCTATTGATCCACAGGAGTGTCTGTTCCCTAGTTGTCTTAGGACTTAACTTATTTTCATTTCTTTTAACATACCCTCTGTCCCACAAAGAATGGCAGTGTAGGGAATATGAGGGTCAACATTCATATCATTTTCGGCGTGAACTCAGATATTGATGTCTTAGAATTTTTTTAAAATAAAATATACATATTTAGAAACTACACTAGATAAATACTACAAATAACAATTTTTGTTGTTTCTGTATCAGTAACAATTTTCTTAGTGTTTAAAAAGGAGATCTTTACAGAAATAATCGGCCGGATTCACTATTTACTTTCCCTATTATACACTGATTATACACGGTTATACACATATTATACATGAATTATACATATATTATACCTCCACCGGCTATTTTTAGTTTAAGCAGTTGGATGGACAGCTATTTAGGTTAATTCTTCTAAAAAAAAGTCAAACGTTTTAAGAAATTTTAGTGAAAGAAAAAATTGGTTGATTTTCCAAATAGTAATAGTACAATTCTTTTTTGGACACGGAGAATAGTTACTTAATTGACAAGAATTAGGAATCCTAGATTGATTTGCATAGAATTCTTATTCCTTTTTCTTATATATATGACTAGATTTCAATTATTTGGGATTTGAGGCATACTCGATCAATCGATTGACATAACTGGATTCCACTTTCTCAACAAACAAAAATATATCAACCTATATTAATAACAACTTTTTTTGCCTTTTGGCTTTTAGCATTCTCTTTAAAGACCACAAGGATTTGCTCAAAGTTAACCCCTAAGCCAAGCTCTTTTTCCTTGGTTTCCCTCTAACCTACAAAACTACAGATTCTACCTGAGTTGAGTAAAACCTCTTCCTACCTAATCCCCCCTTCGTCCCAGACAAATGAGATGAAACCCTCTTTGAATTTAACCCAGTATGCTTAAAGATGTAACATCATGGAAAAAATGAAAATTCTGAAACTACAAGAGAAAGAAGATGGATTTATCTTTCTTTTTTCCAAGGAAAAAAGAAGATGATTTATCACAAATTTATTGCAATCTCAGATGACAAATACATACCAGGAATCCAGTATATTGATGGTTTCACATCTTGTGATTTGGGTTTCTCGTCTTTCTCTTCTTCCGTTGTTTGCTTTTCACTAGCATCAAAAATTACAGCAATCTGATCACCATTCACCTCATACACCTCACCACGTTGACCACTGGACATGGACCTGTAAAAGCATATTGGTTGTAACAACTTATATGCGTCTGTTAAAATGACATTTAAGCAACTCTTTACTTAAATACCTTTTAGGCAGATACATTTGTAAAACACATTAACTGCTAAAAAGATGCTTCAAAGTTAAATAACAAATTCGCATCTTAAACATCTAAAAGAGCTAGGTGCATAGATGTTGGCTTTACTATTGAGAATAACAAACAAATAAACAAAAATGATCAGGACAATGACAGTGATGGAAAATAATGATACGACAACTTATTTCACTGCAGATGCCTAGACCAAATGCAGAACCTTCATACTCTCATTATCTTAGATATAAAGCCGAGCACTTGCACTAGCACAAGAGCATTGCACTATATCACTATGAGCATCAAAAAGGACATTAAGACAGAAGCCGCAAGGAATCCTGGTGGATGATGAGCAAAAAAGCCCAACTACCATCGCAAATATTTTATATCTTTCCAGTGAGAAGGAACGTCAAAGATACAATCATGCGTCCAAGCACCAAATGGAGAAAACAATTCTCTATAGCACTTGCGACGACTTACCAACCCACCTTCCATGAATAACAGTGTAAGCATTTGTTGGACCACCAGAAGTAGGTATCCTCCCCAATAAAATCCTGTGATGAATTGGATTATGTCAATTACTAAATGCTGCTTAATCCAAAGTTCACATGGGTTATACTAATGGTAAGACCTCCACTTCGCGACAAAACTCTCAGCTCTCTAAACAAGCAAAGCACAGACAGGAAAGCAAAAAATAAAGCTGCATGACTCTCTCAGAGTAAAATTTCTTAATAAAGCAATAAGACACCCCCAAAACTGTTTTTAGTACAGCAAAGAAATGTAAACAAGAATAGAATGCTTCTAACTCCTAAGCTTTAAACATGATGCACCTCTTAATTCTTTGAGACTATCCTTTTTCCTCTCTTTTCAGTTTCCTACAAAAGCAAATCTACCAAATACAAAGAAATTCAGATATCCATTTAAAAGTTACCCAACTCCAAATAACATGCAACAACCCACTTTAAGTTGTTTTGGCCTTGCTATGATATACCACATTTATCCATTCAAATATATGTGTCCTAATTGCCACTAGTATATAGGGTCATCTGAAGTCTGAAACACAAAGTTTGACAACAACAACAACAACAACAACCCAGTGGAATCCTACAAGTGGGGTTTGGAGAGGGTAGTGTGTACGCAGACCTTACACCCCTACCTATGAAGGTAGAGAGGCTGTTTCCGAAAGACCCTCGGCTCAAGAACATTAAAAAAAAAAAAAAAAAAAAAAAAAAAAAGAGCAATATAGAAACAATAGCAACAACAATGTAATAAGACAGTGTAAGCAAATAATATAACGAATAATGACAGAGATCCAAGGAAATGAAACAACAAGAATAGTGCCAATCTCACCGCTACTACTGACATACCGTATATAAACAAAGGACTAGGAATAGGAAGGTACCCGACTAGTACAACTACTACTAGTAAGACAAGGCAAACTCTAGACTGTCTATCAACCCACCACCCTAATTTTCGACCTCCACATATTTTCATGTCCTTGGTGAGCTGGAGCAGAGCCATGTCCTACCTAATCACCTCACCCCAATTCTTCTTTGACAGATATTTCAAAATAATCTGCTCTTAGGAAGACTGAACTGGCAGTTTATTTTGTTGTCAATCATATTGTAGTAGAGCATTACTAAGCACTACAACTCATATTGGAAGAAAAGGAAGTTGATATTTCATCTACTTAACATGGATTCCTCCACATACACACTACTGCACGGTGTAAGAGGATAACCTTTTAGCGACCTATAAAGGGCCTTCACGCACTTATTGTTTAGAGCTTTTACTTTCTTTTTTCTATATCTTCTTTACTAGTGAATTTAGGAAATTTACTCCTCCGTGTTTTTCATTATCTTTTGAGTGAATCACTTCTTTCAAGGAGTCGATTGAACATCTCAGCTATTGACAGTAATTTAGCTTGCATTGACTAAGGCCTCATTTATTTGCACTTAATGAAGGTCTACAATCTGATCATCCAGACCTCAGTTATTAAGTGTGTTTAGTCACTAAGTGCGGTTTTTTTTATGTTTGAATCTTAATCATTCAGATTTCAATCATTAAGTGCGTTTATAGCCATTTAATGAGTTTGAACATATAACAGAGTCTTACTATCATTAAGATGCTATCACCCACCTTCACAACTAACCATCAATATTGCTCACCATTAACAACAACCACCATCCTCAACCACAACCATCATCCTCAACCACAACAACCACAATCAGCAATCACCACCGCTAGCCACCATTTACAATCATCACCACCAATCACCATTACCACACAACCACCAATCACCACCAACCATCACAAAAATTAGCCACCGCTAACAATTACCACCACCATCATCTATCACTATCATCCACCACAATTATTAGCCGCCGCCGCCGCCGCCACCAGCTACCACTATCAACCATCACCTTTAACATTTATTGTCAGCCACCATCACCACTACTTACCACCCGCAACCATCACCACCACTCTCAATCGGCACTAATAACAACCATGGTTAGTCATCATCACCACAAACTATTATATTATTTTAAATATATTTTATTAATATAATATTAGATTATATAATATTTTATTTGAATTTTGTATTTATTAATTTTTAAATAAAGACAAATTTTATACATTCAGATGTTGAAAAGACGAATTATCTTTTTTATTCAGTATCCTGGTCTGAATACACATCTTAAAATTCAGATGTGTATTCAAATTCACACGTCTTAATCTTAACACATCTTAATATTCAGATATGCATGTATATTTAGACATCTTAATCTATACTATATTAAAAGCACGAAGGCCCTTAGCGAAATGTCGTTCGCCTTTTTTACCCTTTAAAATTTGATTTCAAACTAGACAAGATAGTCATTTTATTATTTTCCTAAAGTTTAGGAGTTTGAAGTCAACTAAAATTATGGCCATTAAGTCATTCCTTATTTGATCAATGTAAAAGCTCTTAATATTTAAGAACTTAAAATTATCAAAATTTTACTAATATAAATCCTTTATTTATTTGAATAATTGTGTGACGTAAAGTATGTTAAAAGTGAAACTTTTAAGCTAGTTATTTAGAATACGTGATGTTAAGTATGTTAAAAATTAGTGTATTATATGTGAAACTCTTGGCATTAAAGACTTCTAAGTTCAACTAAAACTAAGCATGTTATAAGTTATTTAATGTTCTTTTACATGATTAGTTTCTTATTATGTAGTGAAATAACATTTTTATCATTACTTTGATAAGTTTAAAGTTATCATCAATCTTTTGTTAGATTGTTTTTATTAAATGTGGCTCATAAATTATTTTTTTCGCCTTTTTAGTTCTTTAACCCATTGGCTGCTAATTGTAGTTCTTTATATCATCTAATTTGTGGTATAATGGTTCGACATTAGTTATTTTGTAGGCTCTAAATTGTCAATTATTCATTTTATTTTCTAGGAATTGTAGGACCAACCTTTACTCCCAAATTTCAAACAAACAAAATTTTGATTTTTTTCATGTTATTGACAAATCTTTGAATAATTATGATAAAAGTATGTCACAGAAGATATTTAACTAAATTAAATGTTCATAGGCTTTTCAACTTAAAAAATGAAGAATTAACCAAAATAGCCGCTTTAACTAAATTTAATGTTGATAGGCTTTTCAACTTAAAAAATGAAGAATTAACCAAAATAGCCGCTCATCCAACCGCTTAACTAAAAATAGCCAGCGAATGTATAATACCAGGTAGGAAAAGTAAATAGTGAATCCGTCCGGCTATTTATATAAAAATTCCTTTTGAAAATAGATTTTACACTACACAAAGTTATCCTTTAATTATTCTCTTAATATTTAAGATTTTAAAATCAACTAAAATTTATAGTTCAAAATGTAGCTGTTGGATTATACTTTTGCTATAGTAATATATTATTTTTTAATCTGTTAGAAACAATTCATATAGTAGTTCTTATTGATTAAAGAAAAATAGACTGTCTTTTGTTAGTTAGTTGAACATGTTTGAGTCTATTAGAATGAACTTGAAAATTACCACACACAAAAAAATGAACTTGAACATAGCTTTTCAAAAAAAAAAAAATCTTAAATCTTCAAACGCTATGTTTTCTTACTGAAATTAAAAGGAAGTATGATAACTTGTGAAATTAAGTTGATAAAATTATAAAGATGGCAATGAGTTTAAGTTGAATATATAGAATGATGATTGAGGAATTTTATGAGACAGTTTCTCTTTATTTATTGAGTTATCTATATTGGATTAATATTCATCAATTTCAAAAGTTTAAACTTTTATTTTGTAATTCAGATATAATTTTAATATACTATTTATGTGATTTTTATAAAAAGCTTACTCATTAAAGTTGGATACACGCGCAACGCGCGTATCCTAAGACTAGACTTAATAAATAAATGAGGCCCAAGAGAAGCAAGGACTTCTAGAAGAAGATGCTGATTTGATGAGAAATAAAAAGGAATAATAAAAATTCAAGTGGATGAAACTGATGCAGCTACTTTCGAAGTAACAGAACAATAGCAACAACTTGGTAAAATTCGATAGCCAAAGCTAAATTTGTGGAAAGCCTTGTAATTTGCTACGCTTGCTTGCACCTATCCGCTGATTCTGATGCCCATCAGATAGCAGAACTTTTTCAGTAGTACAAATCACTACACTTCACCTCTTTCTATATGAAATGGAATTTTTTTTTTACAAAGGTACCCTTCAGCTAAAATTTAGATCATGAAGGATCCGACCTCTAGATCTGCACCCGTATCGGACACCTGCAACCGAATCCGAGCAACTTAGCCCTCCATAGCCCTCCAGCCAGACAACATAGTAGTCTTCGGGATCAGAAGATGTTAACCAAAGATACAAACCCTATAGGTCATAGGTAGGTCATCCCGTTTGAATTGGTTAAACTTAAAAGCAAATTCTAACCTTATCTATCTAAACTTTGGTGGACAGAGTTACTCGATAATTGTGTTGGTGGGGAGGTAGCAAGTACCCGGTGGATTTAGTCGAGCCAGTGCGAGCGAGCCAGCCAAACACCATCGCTATTAAAAAGAAAAAAGAAAAAGCAGATTCTACCTCTTGTTCTTACATTAGAAAATTCCATTGTGGTGGTGTATTCAAGAATGAGCACTCATGTATAAGACTCTGACAGGGAGTTCTTAAGAATTATTACAATATTGCGCATGTGAGCAACATGTGCAATATTGATTAAGCCAACTAGTTTAGTACTAGAGGAATAGTAGTCTTATAAAAAATTTACTGTTTAGTAGTCTTACAAAAAAATTCAGAATACAGGGTATTTAGATTCTTCCTAGCAAAACCATATGTTCTCAAGGTTTAACCATCAACGTCCTAGTCTAAGATACGACGCGACAGTGAATTCCTACTTTTAATTTTGATAATGGACAGTGAATCCACACATAACCCGCTCGAATGCCATTTTTAACACTCGGTCAAGACAACGTATTGGGTTATTTGTTGCTCATTAAAAGCTAAGTCTAAGCTTTTTGGGAAGCAGATAACTCAAAAGCCTAACAGATTATGCAATGATGCGTAACAACCCAAAGTGAGGAGAGGTATTACAGGCACTTTCTTTCTTTCAATTGAAAATATTTCAATTCATAAAGGTTGCAAGAAAAGTTGGAGGGCTACATGAAAGCAAATGTTCATGCAATGGTAATCGTGAAAATATAGATGAACTGGTAAGAAAAATGGAAAGAAAGGTTACTCCTGTAGATCAGCACGTATAAATAAAATTTACCAGCTAATTCGCAGAAAGTTAAAGACTCTAGAAGCAGGACGATTTTGATTATTTAAGATATCAAAGAAGACAAATACTAGAGAGATGTGCCACATAGAAGAACTAACCTGTTATCGGCTTTAACAACACCAGAAGGTCCAGTATATTTTACTCGATCCCCTGTATGTAGATAAAAATGTAAATATAACAAAGGAAAACTACCATGACAAAGTAAAAACAGATACTCCTCAAAAGATAGTAAATATGATTATTGCAGTTATCAAAATTGAATATCACGTTTGCTATTTTAAGCGTCAAACTTAAATATATTGTACTGAAGCTCCCAAATTAAGTTGTAATGAATTTCAAAGTAGAATAACTGCATCTGGTAATAACATTAAGCAGTTGCTACATCTGCATGCTTTATTTAATTTAATAAAATAAATCAAGCATCTTCTAATTGACCCCACTAGTGGTATTCTACTGGGTTGTTGTTGTTGCATCTTCTAATTGAGTTACAATTGGGAAATATGTGCTTTGAGATACCCATACTTTCTAGAATTTGCTCCAGTCTTCCAAGACTCTCTCTCCCTCTCTTACCTTTCTTTCTACTTTGTTACTGTTTCTTGGCCACGCTTTTAAGTTTTCTATCCAGAATTTTTCAATCTGGTTTGAGTTTTGCTCTGGCGTTGCGATACTTATTTATGAATAATAACTGGCTTTTAGAATCTCTGAGTCATGAAGAGAATTTTGGACTTGCGTACAATTTTTTGGACAACAATACTATTGGCGCAGATAAGATTTGAGAACAGAACCTAGCTCTCTCTGCCATTAACACAGCCGCCCAGCAACACCGCCGGCGACCCAAGGTGAGGTACCCACCCTTCATCTCTCCTCCCTCTCTTGCTTTCTCATACATCCTCCATTCTTCCTCTTTCTCTCTCTCTTTCCCCCTCCTTCCCGTCTTTCTCTGTTTTGTTTCTCCACCGCGACGGGTCGCGGAGTTCAGCGTCGGAACTCCTTGAAGCTTGGCACTTCTCCCTTTCTATTTCTCTCCCCTTCGCCTCATGCGTCTGTGTGGGGAAACATCGGCTGAGTCCGTCAAGATCAGTCGATTTTCCGGCGTAGATCCCGTCACGCGCCGACGCGTGAGATCCTATCCAGGTGGTTTTCCAGCGCGTGCATCTCCTCTCAGTGATCAAAGCTCAAGAACGACCGCTCCAGGTGTCTCGGATTGTCCCTTCCAGCCAGCTCGCCGCGAGCCATCCTCGCCGGTCAGATTTTCGTTAACTTCAGGGGCTGCCATCCATGTTCTATCGTTCCTCTCTTGTCCTGTTATTTCGATTGTGATATTCTAGCTTAATGGTATCCTCTCTTGTCCTGTTATTTCGATATTTTGATATTCTAGCTTAATTGTATCCTCTCTTGTTCTGTTATTTTGATATTTTGATATTCTAGATTAATTGTATCCTCTGGTTTGCCTATTTTTGTTCTTGAATCTTCACTTAATGTTGGCCCTAGCATTGTCAAATTAGTTGCACTAGTTATAGCTTTGCCTACCTGTATTATATTACTCTATTCATGTTTATAGTTTTCTTTTGAATCTTTATTTAGTATATCCCATAGTAACTTTGTCCATTTTCTCTGTGACCTCTAGTTGTTTTTTGTCAATATTAGTTGGAGATTATATTTCGGTTATTCATTTAATTTTTGTCTCGTGTTTTCGGGGTAGTGTTTGCGTAGTGTCTCCTAGATTATAGTGGCTTTGGTGAACGATGGTAGGGTAAGGTCTTGTCCTCGGGAGTGTCTTGGCGGGGGAGGGAGTGCGGGGGTAAGGGGGGTAAGGGAGCCTCCAGGCTGAGAATGGGGTCTTGGAACATAGGAACTTTGACCGGAAAGTCTATAGAGTTAGCGAGGATTCTCGAAAAAAGAAAGATTAATATAGCTTGTATACAAGAGACTAGATGGGTAGGAGATAAGGCGCGGGATGTGGGCAAGTTCAAACTATGGTATTCTGGGAGGGCGGGGGGCAGGAACGGGGTAGGTATCTTGGTTGATGAGGACCTCTGTGATCTAGTGGTGGAGGTTAGGAGGGTGAACGATGATGACTATTAAGCTGGTTGTTGGAGGATTCATTTTGAACATAATCAGTGCGTACGCACCCCAAGCAGGCTTGGACGAGGAAGTCAAAAGGCGTTTGTGGGAGGATTTGGATGAGATGGTGCGTGGTATTCCGCATACTAAGAAGCTTTTCATAGAAGGAGATTTCAACGGCCACATTGGAGCGATGTCTGGGGTTATGATGATGTGCATGGTGGCTTCGGTTTTGGAGATAGGAATGGAGGAGGAACTTCTCTGTTGGACTTTGCTAGAGCGTTTGATTTGGTGATAGCAAACTCGAGTTTCTCGAAGAAGGTGGAGCACTTGGTCACCTTCCGGAGTTCGGTGGCCATGACTTAGATTGATTATCTTCTCTGCAGGAAGTCAGTCCGATAGAGGTCTTTGCACGGATTGCAAAGTCATCCCGAGTGAGAACCTCACGACCCTTCATATGCTCCTGGTCATGGACCTTGAGATCACGAGGAAGAGGAGGAAGAGGGCAGTGTATAGCCAAAGCGCAGGAGTTAGGGGTTAAGTTGATGACTAAGGGGGGCTAGGAGGAGTAGCGGGGACGCAAGCGCTATGTGGACCACGACTGCGCAGTGCACTAGGGAAGCCGCTAAAGAGGTATTAGGGATCTCGAAGGGTTACTCTGGTGGTGACATAGGAGACTGGTGGTGGAATGGAGAGGCACAAGGAAAAGTGGAGACCAAGAAAGCGGCGTATCTGAAGCTAGTAGAAAGTGTAGACGAGGAGGAGAGACGGGTGAATAAGGAGCAATATAAGTTAGCTAAGAAGGAGGCGAAATTAGCAGTTACGGCAGCCAAGACTGCAGCTTTTGGTCGTTTGTATGAAGAACTCGAGGGCCAAGGTGGGGATAAGAGGTTGTTCAGGTTAGCCAAGGTGAGAGAAAGGAAGGTTCGTGACTTGGATCAAGTGAAGTGCATCAAGGATGAAGAAAGTAGAGTTTTGTTAGATGAGGGGCTTATCCGTCGGAGATGGCAGACCCACTTCCATAGTCTCTTGAACAAGGAGGGGAACAGGAACATTGTACTGGGTGATTTGGAACTCTCCGGGAGTCGTTGCGACTAAGGGTATTGTAGGCAGATTAGAGTTGAGGAGGTTGAGGGGGTTATGCGTAAGATGAGCAGGGGCAAAGCGACCGGGCCAGATGAAATCCCGGTGGAGTTTTGGAAGAGTGCGGGCAAGGTGGGCTTGGAGTGGCTCACTAGGTTATTTAATGTCATTTTTAGAATGAAGAAGATGCCCGAGAAGTAGAGGAGGAGCACGATGGTTCCTTTATACAAAAACAAGGGTGATATCCAAAATTGCAATAACTATCGGGGTATCAAGCTGCTTAGCCATACTATGAAAGTTTGGTAGAGGGTGGTGGAGCTAAGGGTGAGGAGGAGTGTGTCTATTTCCGAGAACCAATTCGGGTTTATGTCGAGGCGCTCGATTATAGAGGCCATTCACCTTGTTAGGAGTTTGATGGAGCAGTATAGGGAGAGGAAGAGGGACTTGCATATGATTTTCATCGACTTAGAAAAGGCGTACGATAAAGTCTCGAGGGAGGTTTTGTGGAGATGATTGGAGGTTAGAGGTGTACTTGTTGCCTACATTAGGGTGATTAAGGACATGTATGATGGAGCGAAGACCCCAGTGAGAACGGTGGGTGGGGACTCAGACCATTTTCCGGTCATGATGGGGTTGCACCAGGGGTCGGCACCCAGCCCTTTTTTGTTTGCCCTGGCGATGAACGTTCTGACGCGTCATATCCAAGGGGACGTATCGTGGTACATGTTATTTGCAGATGATATTGTATTGATTGACGAGACGCGAGGCGGTGTGAACGCGAGGTTAGAGGTGTGGAGGCAGATCCTGGAGTCTAAAGGTTTCAAGCTGAGCAGGACCAAGACAGAATACTTGGAGTGTAAGTTCAGTGGTGAGACTCAGGGAGGGGAAATAGAGGTGAGGCTGGACTCGCAAGTCATCCCTAGGAGAGGAAGTTTTAAGTACTTTGAATCTATTATTCAGGGGGATGGAGAGATTGATGAAGATGTCACACATCGTATTGGGGCAGGATGGATGAAATGGAGAGTCGCTTCTGGTGTTTTGTTTGACAAGAAGATGCCACCAAAACTTAAAGGTAAGTTCTACAGAATGGTGGTCAGGCCGACTATGTTGTATGGGGCTGAGTGTTGGCCTGTGAAGATCGTCCATGTCCAGAAGATGAAGGTAGCAGAGATGAGGATGTTGAGATGGATGTGCAGGCATACCGGGTTAGATAGGATTAGGAATGAGGTTATTCGCGACAAGGTGGGTGTGGCCCCTATTGAGGACAAGATGCGGGAAGCGAGGCTTAGGTGGTTTGGACATATGAGGAGGAGTAGCACAGATGCCCCGATGAGGAGGTGTGAGAGGTTGACATTGAAGGACCTACGGAGAGGTAGAGGTAGGCCGAAGAAGAAGTTGGGAGAGGTGATTAGGCAAGACATGCGTAGCTTCAGCCGACCGAAGACATGATCCTTGATAGGAAGGTGTGGAGGTAGAGGATTAGGATAGTAGGGTAGGTACATGATCCTTGATAGGAAGGTGTGGAGGTCGAGGATTAGAATAGTAGGGTAGATGGTCTAGATTGTTCGTACAGGTAGTATTAGTACGCACTCTCGCATTTTGTTGGTAGTAGGTTTCTTTGACTAGGTCGTTTTCTTTCATTTTGATCATCTTATTATCGTGTTGTTTTTATGCTGCTTTTACATGGCTTTTTGGTGTTGTCCCTCCTTGTCTATCTTTTAATTAATGTGGTGCTTATGTTTTCCTTAGCCGAAAGTCTATTGGAAACAGCCTTTCTACCTTCACAAAGGTAAGGGTAAGGTTTGCGTACACACTACCCTCCCCAGACCACACAATGTGGGATAATATTGGGTATGTTGTTGTTGTGCTTTTAGTCCCTCAAATATCAACAAATTTGGGTTTTGGTCCTTGTGATTTGTGTATTAAAAAATGTGGGCGTGAGGTAAGGCTTTTTATCTAGCGCGTGGCGAGGCGTAAGCCCCGGGCGCAGGGCTTAACCCCATGGATTATTAATTTTAATATTTTGTAAATTAATAAAATAAATATATAAATAAAAAAAGTAAAAATTATATTTAAAATGTAGAAAATTATAAAACTAGTAGGAACATCTATATATCTATATTTAAACATGCTAACATGTGCATAAACATTATAAAAGAATTTTTTTCTTATTTGAAAAAGTGAAAGACGTTGAGATGCAATACACCTATAACATGACTATGATGGAACATACTTAGAGTTGTAAAAATGATACTCTAGTTCCTAATAATTCAAAAAATACAAAAGACAAGAATATAAAATTATTGTTAGAAAACCTAAAACTAAAAAAAAATCACAAATACTCATTATAATAAAAAACGAGCATTTTTTAAGAGTCTCCAGAACGAATAAAAACTAGAGTGATACCAAAAGAAATTCTAAAACCATAAACTAACTTGAAAATTAAAGAAAGCAAAAAAAACTTGAAGAAAATGAAGCAAAGGAAGGAAGTTGCAAGTACAGAAGCAGAGCAAGCATCGGAGGACCAAACGTTTGCTTTGTAGTTTGCACTTTGAAAACAAAGAGGAAGAATATTCGTTACTCAATAAACGAAAAAAAGAGGATTATGAATTAGGATAAGCAATTAGTAAAGATCTATGAATTTTGAATTTTTTCAGTTTAAGAATTTACTATGAGTTAATTTATGAGCACGTAAGTATTAAAAAAAGAATTTATTAAGCAATTTTGGCTCCAACTTGACAAAGTTCTCTTGCCCAAAATGAATGCCCAAAATGTTGGGACTCACGCCTAAGGGAACGGGCAGAAGGTTAGCACTTACGGCTGCAATACTTGCACCATGCCAATACGCCTCAATGCGTTTTTAGTGCACTTGCTCGTGGCTCGCCCGCCTTTTAAAACACTCTTGTAATTTCTGGTTAAGCATATTTAACCTTCAATCAAATTGATAGGAGCACTTTCGATCCCTATGACTTGTGAATCTTCACAAAGATAACGATTATTAAGTGCTAAACTATTTACTTATTGATGTGATATGTTAAAGTTGTATTGTTACTATATATTTGAGGGTAATACAGTTCTATAAATAGTCTAAATATCACATATTTCCTATATAAAGGGACCAAAATAACACATTTCATTTAATTGAAGGTTAAGCATGCTTAGCCGAATATTTAGAGGACCAAAATAAGAATTTATCAATAACTAAAGGACTAAAAGTGCAATTATCCGGTTACAGTTTTCCTCAATGGAAAGGTCAAATAACATGAATATATAGTTATATACCGAACCAACTAATAAACTGCCACAATCACAAATTATCGATCTCTTACTACTACTAATAACAATGTTTTAGAAGGCAAAAGTGTGAGCAAGGTGATTTCTTGTGGTAAGGCAAGTTATATGCCTCAATCTGTGAGGCGGACCTTTTTTTCTTAATATCTTTTAGAAGTAAACAGCTTTCAATGTAGTAACAGCAGAAACATGGGGGATTAAGAAAGAGGGAAAAAAGAGAAAATAGTAGAGCAGTAAGGAGCACTACCAGTAGATAACCCGGGGGGGTTGTGTGTGAGTGAGAGAGAGAGAGGAGGCACAGATTCATCGACTTTAACCTTTCTTGACCATCTATAAATGGGTCTAAAATGACGTAACTACCCCTTGTCAATCAAAACTTTGAAGAAAACAACTCCGGCGAGACATAAAATTTACGTTTTTCCTATTTAGACTTTTGGTGCAACAAGAGAATCCAATATTGTATAGATAGTTTTATAGATCTGTAAAAAAGACTGATCTAGGAAGTATTAAAAGTCATTTATTCTATTTATACTTTTGATGTAAAGAAAGAATACAATATTGTAAAGATAGTTGGCCAGATAAAAATGACGGATTGAAACGCATCACTGATTTGTCCTTAATTTTGACATACTCAAGTGCGTCATTAATGAAAGATTTTTGATATATCAAAAGAATACAACTCAAGTATTGCATACACATCATCTGAAAAGTGCTAGTAGGCAAATACAGCACGATACTCCATAGCCTTTTCTTTCTTTTTTTCAGTTTAATACTTTCTACATATCTATCCACCACCTGAAATGAATTGTTAGGTGTCCACATTCTCTATTGCCGAACCCTAACCATTATCACTAGTCGCTTCTTATCACTTTCATGACTGTCCATTCCCCATATCTCTTTACAATTAAGTTTCCTGGCTAGACTCTAGAGAGTACTCTCCGGTCTCGTATGTCGCTCAAAAATCAAGATTGTTGCATGTCCCAATCAGTACCACCGCGTACTCTTTGTTTATTTGAGTGATTTTTGGAAGGTCTGTTGTAATATTCAAATGGGAGGCCTATTGTCATTAGATAGATTGGACTTAACAACCCACATTACTGCCAAAATTGTAACACTTGCACTACTTCAAGAACCAATCTAACCAAATCAAGTAATTTACTACCTCTTTAGTGACGAGGCTCTGAATTTTTTTCTCACTCCATCCTAATCAATACCATATCTTTGTGTTCACCCATCTAAAAGGGCTAACGAATTCACCTTCCTTCTAATATATATAAACATACTAGTGGCGCCGGATACCGACATCCTCCCACCATTACAAGAATGGGTAACTCAATTCACCAAAGAAGGGCAAATGGGACTGAGCTTTTTCGCATATGCTAGGACTTGAATCCTAGTCTCTCATGGACTTCATCCCTCTTCATCAATTGCTAGACGACACCAGTGACTGCGCACTTTCTTTTCAAATATAATATTTGAAGAACTAAAGGTTTATTTTGTGATATCAGAACTGAAGGATTATTTGTTCACTTACACTAATCTATTAGATTTTCTGTTGACCTATGACCTAATTTTAATGCGGAAAGAAAAGAGGACTAGATTAGTGTATGTGATGCTTGGAACAAGCCTTATTCATTCTTGACTGTCAACCAAATGTAACAAAGGAACTTCTTTGTCAGAATGACACGTTAGGGATAGTTAAGTGGAGAAATGANGACCGAGGGAGCATGAAAACTACTTTTTTCTTTGGGAATAATTGGGAGTAAGGCCAAACACTATGTCATTAATTATACCCCTTCATGAACTAATTGGTCAATTTGCCTTGGGTAACATGTAAGGATGCCCAATCAACTCTTTCAAGTGCAAAACATTTACCAATCTCATGTTGCGACTACAAAAGTGTGCACGACAACCACCACTAAGTGCCCAAATCAGTTGGTTAATGAACAACAAATTGCCCCAGGGCTTTGATCTAGTGATAAGGGTGCAGACTTGTGATATGTAGGTTAGGTGTATGCCATGGGTTCGAACCATGCCGCACACAAAAGCCTGATAGATAAGTGGAGAAAGATATAGGGATGGGACCATCATCCACCGAGTTTTACGCCATTAACCCTTGGGATTCCTCAAATTAAAAAAAAAAGCAAATTCTAAAAAGTTGTTAACAAATATCTCATTTAAGAAACTCCTAAACACAAAATGGGGGTCCAAAAAGAGACTTTGGTAAAAAAAAAAAAAAAAAAAAAAAAANATTTTTATTTTATGTTAAATTGTTATAGGTGCTAACCAATATGTGTGTAAGTTTATTTTAATTTTTACAATTTTTAGGAATTTTTAGTTTAATTTGTTGATTTGAAAAAAAAAAAAAAAAAAAAAAAAAAAGGGAAGTGATAAAATAAATACTCCTTCTACCGGGCAACTGGATGAAGTGGCTGGAAGATGAACTTACTAAGTCAGTTCCTAGAAAATTGATAAGAGAAATGATCGAGACTTTTTTTTACACCCGAAGGTGTAGCCTAACAGTCAATGAAGTCGGTAAAAACTTCAAAGACCAAGGTTCAATTCCCAACGAAAACAAAAATACTAGGTGATTTCTTCTCATCTATCTAACCTTGTTGGGCAAAGTTATCCAGTATAAGTACTGTTGCGAAGTAGCAGTTTCGCGGCGGAATAGTAAAGGTGCGCGCAATCTGGTCCAAACACCACCTTTACATATAAAAAAGATGATTGAGACTTTTTTTATGCCGCAAGTATATATATAAATTTTTTCGATCACCATCTTCTAGAATCTACCCTACAAAGACTACAGCAGATAGCTGGTTTCACGAAAACGATAAACCAAACAAAACAAAAGATGTTAGCACAGCCTATGAGGAATCCTGCTGCAAAATGGCACTTCATACCTTTTCTGAAGGGCCGTTGAGTTTTCTCTGATTGATCAACAGACTCCGAGGTTGATTCTGAGGAACTTTCAAGTTCTCCAGACACTCTCTAAAATCCATGCAATGTTTAAAATCAAAACCATGAGAAATGCATATAACATCTATAATGATGGATTTCTAATTACTGACATATTGAAGAAATTGGTAACACTCAAAAAGATATGGATGTAAACTCAACCAGAGCATAATACTTATATTATAATAATAAATCATGAAGGTTCTCTTTCAAAAATAGTTACATGATATTCGAAGGAAATAGAGAAAAGCAAATATTATATTTTAAATCCAATTCTCCAACCTACTCCGAACCTCCGCCTATTGTTGACTCTTATGAAGACTAGTCAAGGAAAGATATCATTTTCCCTTTTCATGGATCATTTTATTTATACATTTTGGCTTAATATTCCTAATCCCAACCAACTGAATTACCAAGTTCTTATATTTGATACGTTTGTGCCCGTGAACAGTTTACAGCCAACAAAGTACCAGATTTCAGATTGGTTACAGCTAACTCAAAGTTTACCTTCTCAAAGTCTTCAAGGCTGAATGGAATAAGTTTTTCTAATGCTTCCACAGATGCCTCGACATCAACGTCTTCCTCACTAGCTTCTGACTTTGTCTCAGCACTGCTTGTCCATTCTTCCTCATTACTTGCATCATTTGCGTCTTCCATTTCAGAATCCGACGTACACTCTTCACCTGATTCTACATCTGATTCGCTTTCAGATGAGCAATCTTCACCAAAATCCTGTGCGTAAGTAACTTTATGAAGATATGGGATAAAAAGCAAAATAATGGTACACAGAGCTTGTTTAGTCAAAAGGAACCAATGATATGTTGATATGTTGAAATATATATATATATATATATGAATAACTTACATATGGAGCTAGAATGCTGCTATCAAGCACCAGCAATGGTACTTTTAAATCTCGAGCAAGGGTTCGAACAAGTCTTTCTCGATAAAGCTCAGTCCCTGCAAAATCATCAAGAATTCAGTATTTATTTCTAACAAGCACTAATAAAAAGCTAAATTGTCTTAGGAATCTCATACCAGTCTAGAAAACTCTACCTGGTATACTTTGAAGCAGGATTCTCCCACTTGAAGAACTCAAGCGGCCACCATAAGCCACAGTAACCTTCTTATGCTTTAAATGGGAAGCAACACACTCCACCAAAACGTTCTTTGTATGTTCGCTGCAAATTTTGTTGACATAAATTAACCCAAATAGCAACTTGGCAGCAAGAGAAATAGATCTGAAAGGCAGGAACTCACTGGATATAATAAGGAAATGTATCCCATGATAGAGCTATTTTCTCCCACGGAACAACCCTCCTTGAGAACTCGTTTTTAAATCTTTCTCGTCTACTTAGGAAAGGCGATTCTTTCTTCTTACTCTCGATCGACAGCTTTTCATTCCGGAGCCACTCCTTCTGCTCTTGATCACCAAGCTGAGCATGTGCATCACAATGTCTCACATCTTCACCGCCTTTTTCCTGCCGAACTGTTCCTTTATCAGAGCTCCCACTATCTCTCGTGTGTACATGTTTATCCTCACTCGCATCCCTACCATCACCTTTAGAACTAAAATACCTTAAATGTGTTGCAGGTGAACTCCTCAACAATCTTATATTCCCTCGTTGAGAAGCAGTCTGTATTGACTTAGATGTATCTAACAAAGCTCGTCCTATCACACTCCCTAGAGAAATGCAGTCTGAAGGTATATGGGTAACGCTTGAGGTTTGTGTAGGGGAGTAAGTTCTGTAGCCAGAACTAACATAGTGGTTGAAATGCTGAAATGCAAGATTCCATCTTTGGTTGTTGCTTCTTATTCTCCTCACATACATTGCAAATTATTAAAGGTATAATAGATACCTAATAACAAGCAAAGTTTATAGGGTTAGTCCACAATTGTCTGAAAGCAAAATGAAAACTTGCTATTTTTCCTGAGAAAACTAAAATCATAATAAGCTTCATACTGCTTTTAGCTGCAAAAGAAATCACATTTCTTAACCTTACAAAGTTTTGTTATCATATGAAATAGACAATTAACAGTGATCAAATTCCTAACTGATGGACATGAAATCACACAATAAGCTATATTGACGGATAAAAAGAATCGTGAACACAACACAAAATAGTCAAGAAGACAAACAGAAATTCAAAAGCCAAGATAAAAAGTGGAAATTGGGATCCAAAAAAAACCAATACAAAGAGCAAAAGCCATTAGAATCAATAAAAAAGACTCATTCTTTAGCATGCCCAGGATTAAAATTCAATCTTCTATTTTATGTAAATGGGGTGCTTTTTTGCATATTATCTTAGCTAATTACAATGTAAAATCAAGAACAGACCTTTCTTTGGTTATAAATAATAATCCTGATAATAATGTAAACTCAGAAGCTAGAAACAGCAGTGGCCATATGGGTTATAAACAGAGGGTCATGTAACAAAAAAGGCTTTTACCAGTGGAAATAGGGATGACCCTTGAAAGGGGGAGGTGACAGAAGGGGAGAGATTACCGTTTGGGAGAAGAGAGATAAGAGTTATTTTGTGCTAAAGAGGTAACCTAGGAGGAAGTGACTCCTAGTTTTTTCTATGTTATAGGAGACACGAGAACTGTCCAAAAACAAGCATCCGCCGCACATGTTAACTGAGTTAGGCTTATGGCCCAATAGATTTAAGGAGGAAGGGGAGAAGTGCACACTTAGCCACTAATAGAACTTTATTTACTTTTAAGCCACTATTTAAAATGTATTTACTCTTTAGCTATTGTTTTAATAAACTTTTACCTACCCAGACAAAATACAATTTCGCTGAAACCTTCGCTTATTTATGTGCAGATTTTAGGAGAGAAACCTTCCCTCAAATCTTACGTGTTGCATAAACCTTCCCTCGTCCAAATTACAGAAGGTTTTCTCCTCCTTTCTCCTCTTATTTCAAACTAGAGAATTCAACTTTCTCATCCAAATTTTACCATAAAATTACAGTAAGTTCTAAATTTTCAGATATCTCTATATGCTTTTGTGTGTTTGTGTAGATTTTTATTTGGTTGCTGGAGAATAAGATGCAAGGGAATTGATTTTTTTATTTTCCTTTTCTGGATTGTATTTTCATGGAGAAAACAAAGTATAGAGGAAAAAAAGTTAGGACATCGTGTCCTTAACTTCATGATTATTGTGTAAATATTAAGGACAAAGTATTATGTATTTGCAACTTGTATTGATAAAAGTTAGGACATTGTGTCCTTAACTTCATGATTGTTGTATAAATATTAAGGACAAAGTGTCCTGTATTTGCAACTTGTATTGATAAAGTTTAGGACATCGTGTCCTTAACTTCATGATTGCTGTGTAAATATTATAGACAAAGTGTCCTGTATTTGCAACTTATATTGATAAAGTTTAGGACATCGTGTCCTTAACTTCATGACTGTTGTGTAAATATTAAGGACATAGTGTCCTGTATTTGCAAATTGTATTGATAAAGTTTAGGACATCGTGTCCTTAACTTCATGACTGTTGTGTAAATATTAAGGACATAGTGTCCTGTATTTGCAAATTGTATTGATAAAGTTTAGGACATCGTGCCCTTAACTTCATGACTGATGTATAAATATTAAGGATAAAGTATCATGTATTTGCACTGATAAAGTTTAGGACATCGTATCCTTAACTTCATGACTGTTGTGTAAATATTAAGGATAAAGTGTCCTGAATTTTCCCTTTTCTTGACTTGCAGGATGGATACAATATGTATTATTATTGCTTTTAATGGAAGATGGACCACATACTATAAGTATCTGGATCATTAAACAAAGCTTGTTCTAGTAGCTGAGGCAATTCGATTTGAAGATTTCGTCAACCAGGTCTTTAAAGTTATTGAATTGGATAGAGACAAGTTTGAAACAATGATATGATTTGATATCAACCTGGGAACAAGCAAGGGAATGCTTGTATCCAAAGATTTAGATCTTCACACATGTATAGAGTTATTAAAAAGTCATTTACTCTTCAAGGGTTGTCGTTTCATTGTTGATATTTCGGAAAGAGTTTTTGGCTCTATAAGCACCTTTGAACATGTCAACATAGAAAGTCAACAAGACAATCAAGACAAATGCCAACAGATAATGGAAATAGATGTGGTTGAACCTAAACTAATAATTGAAGAGATGCTTCAAACATTCAATTCTATTCAAATAGAAGGACAAAGCATTATAGAGATTGACAACCAATAAGCTTTAGGTGTTCAATTCTTAGAGAGTGCACCAGTAATTGAAAAGGTTGCTGAAAAATCCTCTACTCAACTAATTAAACGAAGGTCAAAGTCGAAATAAAAAGAATCCTCAACTACAATATTTAGAGAAAATACTTTGTTGGATTAAATAAAAGGGGATCAATATTTGACAAAAAAGATATAATTAACTGTTTTTCGATTATAGCAATTAAAGGACATTTTGAATTCAAGGTTGTTAGATCAAGCTCAACAAGATATTCTTTGAAATGCAATGATGAAAGGTGTGGGTGGTGTGTGCGTGCTTTCAGAATTAAAGATTCAACACTATTCAAGATAGTAAAGGATGAGAAAAATCATGACTACTCAGTTAACACTATGAAAATTGATCAAAGGCATGCAACTTCAAAGTTGATTAGTGGTTACATTATTGACAATCTTCAAGACCCAAGGTTTGAAGTTACACTAGCCTTTGTCATGGTAGAATGCAAAAATTACACGGACTAGACATTGGGTATCACAAGGCATGGTGTGATATTCAACATGCTTCAACTTTAATAAGAGGAACTCCTGAAGAGAATTATGAATTGTTGTCTTCATACTTGTACATGATGAAAAGCAAAAACCCGAGAACATACACTAACATAAAGACAAATGATGACAACAGGTAAATAATCAAAAAGAGTTTATTAGTCATTTCATCTGCTATGCATATATAAAGTGCTGTAACTAAATATTAAGGACAAAGTGTCCTGCATTAGCACCTTTTGTTTTAAACTTTAGGATATCTCGTCCTTAACTTCATGTGTGCAATGTAAATATTAAGGACACGGTGTCCTTAACTTCATGTATGTAGTATAAATGTTAAGGACACGGTGTCGTTAACTTCATATGTGCAGTGTAAATGTTAAGGACATAATGTCCTTAACTTCATCTAATTAGTGTAAATGTTAAGCACATGGTGTCCTTAACTTCATGTGTGTAGTGTAAATATTAAGGACATGGTATCCTTAACTTCATGTGAAGTGTAAATGTTAAGGACATGGTGTCCTTAACTTGACGTGTGTAGTGTAAATGTTAAGGACAAAGTGTCCTATATTTGCACCTTCTGTTTTTAAACTTTAGGACATTTTGTCCTTAACTTCATGTGTGCAGTGTTAAATGTTAAGGACATGGTGTCCTTAACTTTATGTGTGCAGTATAAATATTAAGGACATGGTGTCCTTAACTTCATATGTTCAGTATAAATGTTAAGAACATATTATCCTTAACTTCATGTGTGCAGTATAAATATTAAGGACATGGTGTCCTTAACTTCATGTGTGCTGTGTAAATGTTAAAAACATGATATCCTGAACTGTAACGACCCAACCGGTCATTTTGAGCTCTAGCGCATCGCTCGGCGGTTTGAGGCCTTGGGTAGCTTCACTTCATGTTTTATGACTTGTACGCGTAGTCGGAATCGAATTTCGGGAAGTTTAGAGTTGATTCGGATGGAATATTCTAATTTTGGAAGCTTTAAGTTGGAAGAATTGACTAACGCTTGACTTTTGAGTAAACGACCTCGGAATCGGGATTTGAAGATTCCAATAAGTTCGTATGATAATTTCGGACTTGGACATATGTTCAGGTTGAGTATCGGGTCGCCCGGGAGCATTTCGGCGCTTGTTGTAAAAAGTTGGCATTTTAAAAGTTTTAGAATTTTCTAAATTTGGTTTGAGGTGGACTTTGGTGGTATTGATGTTTGTTTGGGGTTCTGAGCCTTGGAATAGGTTTGTGTCGTAATTTGTGACTTGTGCGTAAAGTTTGGCGTCATTCCTGAATGTTTTGATATGTTTCGGACGCGTTCGTCGCAGTTTGGATGTTTGAAAGTTGAAAGAAAGTTTTTTATCGTCGATTCATGATTTTTATGTTATTTGTGATGTTTCGAGCCTTTGGATAAGTTTGTATAAGGTATTGGGACTTGTTGGTATGTTCGGACAGGGCCCTGGGGGGCTCAGGTGAGTTTCGGGTTGGTTTTGGACCATTTATAGGCCATTTTTAATTGCTAGTTTTTGGCTACAGCAGTGTGCATCGCGATCGCGGACATTGGATCGCGTTCGCGAAGAGCAAAATGGGAGAAAAGGGTCTGTGAATCACATTCGCGAAGACAGATTCGCGTTCACGAAGAAGAAATTTCTGCTGTATAGGGCTGATTTTGGAAGCTCATATCTTGCAATCTATAAGGAAGTTGGAGATGATCTAAAAATGACAGTTGTAGCCCTTCTAGTTTTCAGAAAGTCAAACCATTTGTCATTTGGAGTTTTGTATGAAAAGTTATGGCCATTTTACTAGAGGTTGTCTGGAGGAGTTGGGCAGCTTGTCCTTCGCGATCGCGATTGGTTTTATGCGATCGCGAAGGGCAATTTTGAGCTGAGAAAAGTTGTGCTTTGCGATCGCGAAGTATAAATACCTGGGCAGAAGCTATATTGTAACACCTCGAAAAATTTTGAAGTATTTCAGTGTAAAGCCCCGTAAATTTCGCAAATGAATTCAAGGTTTCGTGATGCCGGAGTAGGCTTACGTGTTTGAGGATGGTAAGCTCGCCGCGGTTCGGACTTTTTGGGTTGAACAATGCACCGGAAAGTAAAGAAAAAAGTTTTGGTGGAAAAACGCATTTCTGCGGTCCATTATGCAACCGCAGAACCACTCTGCGGGCCGCATAATGGCCGCAGAAGTGAGCAGGAGAAGGGCCAGTCTGGGGGCAATTATGCGGTCGACTATGCGAGCACATAACTGTTATGCGGTGTATTATGCGATCGCATAACAGTTATGCGGACCACATAGTAACCGCATACACTGACACATTTTTGATCGTTTTGGTCTGTAATTATGCGACCAATATGCGGTCCGCATATCCATTATGCGGTCGCATATGCGACCGCAGAACCTGTTCCGGAGCTCCATTTTTGGGTTTTTAAAACTCGACCCTACTTCGTTAAATACACGCTTTGGGTTATTTTTGAGCAAAATTCTGATGTTTTAGAGAGAAGGGAGAGTGTTTTAGAGAGAGAGAGAGGAAACCCTAGGCTAATTATTCATCAAGTCTTGCTCAAATCTTGGAAGATTAACAAGAAAAACCCACAAGTTCTTTATCTAAGAGGTAAGGTTCCATACCCTAGTTTTCAATATCGAATTTGGATAGAAGATGGTTGATTAGGAGTATGATTCATGGGTATGAGATTATTATTTATACATGCATGTACCAATAAGAATTGTGGAAAGATTGTTGAGCTGAAATAAGTAAGGATTGGGTTGTGGAGTGAAGGAAATCTTATAGAAGAACCTTGTGGTTAAATTTGCACACCTAGTGTGTGATAAAATGCTCAAATGAGCAGAGACCA